AGGCCCTCAGCTTGCTAGCTGTAGTCTACTCCTGAAGGCCGCGCTCAATAAGGGCGTTCGGGTCGGCCTTGATTCCCCAAGAACTCAATTGGAGGGCGTATAGATCGGGTGGCAACTGGGAACTGTTACGGGCACGTGGCAAGATTTCTGCCTCCACCCATAAAGTGTAGTTCCGCAATTGCTGCGAGAGGATTGAGTAGGCGGCTTGCCAACCATCGAGTTCAGCGGTCACAAAAAGATCTTCAATACCGGTAATGAATGTTTCGGATATCTCAATATCACGTTCCACTTGTCCTCGAAATGGCCCCATTAAGCCATCGGTATCTAATGCAGCCATCGATTCCATCTTGACCAGTTCAGCCAATGGCTCGTATCCTTCTTCAAGACCGGCATACCTCTGCATCCGAACAACGGCGGCAGGGTATCGAAGCGAAGGGGCAGTCGGTCTGAGCAAAGAATTGATTTCGTTGAAGATGAACTCACCTACGTTCATGTAGGGAATCAAGTACGCACTGTTGAGCTCGGCACTTAGGAGACGTTCGTTAGTGCTGTCAATCAGAATGTTGAGGTCTTCCTTGACTCTTCGATCCGTTTCACTGGCCAGGGTCCCTTCGAACTCCTCGAGAACCCCAGTTAGTAAAGACTCTGCTCGCTTCTGCCAACCCTCGATCCTGTCGGTGATGTTTTCATCGACTCCTTCCACGCCAATGCTGCCAAAGTCCTCGGGCGAGAGTTCCCCCATGGCATCGAGGAGGATCTGCGTGTTCACATTGCTTTTCGCAATCCAGTCCGTCTCGGCAGCTGCCGTAGTACCGGCGCAGAAGCTGATACTTGCAGCTGACAGCCACAAAGTTGCAGCCTTTTCCAAGGTATGATTAGGCTTCGAGAACTTCATCTTGTTTTGTTGTTGTGTTTGTGTGTTGTTGTGAATTGTGGTACTGTACTAGTACACTAAATAAATAAATAAATAACTATAAAGGGGATTACGTGAAAGGAACGGTACTAGGTAACGTCCGCTTGTAAAAAGTAGGGGAAGGGATCAAGGGGTTCTGGGCGTGAAGTAGGCATATATGGACCGGCAAGGACTGAGGACGGGGATGAGCCGGATGAATAGAGGGATCGAGCTTGGCGTGTAATAGCGCGTTGAAAGTGTTGTGCTAAGTGGGTAGATAGATTGAGGGCAAGGGATTGGTGTGCCCAGCGTGAAGGTGTGTAGGGTTGGGTGTCAATGAGTAGTTGGTGGGGGTGACAAGTGTGTAGTCAGCAGTGGGGAGATGGCGGTTGGGGCTGAAAGGGTTGGCTGTAGGAGCGTTGGGAGTGGGTGGGGAGTTTGGCAGACCACGGGTGGGGCTGGAGAGGGGAATGTTGGCACGGAGCCGTAGAGAAGGGCAGGACAAGGGTCCCGTCCAAGAAATGGGTCCACTGTGGAAGGGGAGAGGATGATGCCTGCATTTTGGAGATCAGTAAAGTATTCAGTGGGGACAGTGCGAGATTTGTTGTGAGCTTACTTCGAATCGACTGAGAGGGCTGGGAAGTGGTTTGGGTTTGTGGCAGCCGGGCACAAGAGGATTGCAGGGGGCTGGTAACAGTAATGTCGATAGCGAGGAAAGAGGGTGGAGTGGTAGGGGGGGGTCAGAAGGCAGGAGGAGTGTGAGGAAGAATGCCAATATCGGCAGGCGTTGGTTGGGTAGCCCTGGCTGTCGAGCGATGCTTGGGTTCGCAGGTGTGACCCGTCCTGGACGAGTGATGCCCAGCAAGGGGGCAAGGGAGTGAGGACGTGTAACAGGTCACGAATGCCATTACTAGCCGTTTCTTGCTGTAGTGAGTGCATTGAAGGAAATGGTCACCATAGGGGTCTAAAAGAACTCGTTTGCAATGGTGGCAAGGTTGGTTGGAGATGGCTGGGGGGAGGATGGCTAGTCGGAGTTTCCGTTTATAGAGGAGCTGGAAGATGTCATTGGAAAGCCTGTTGTGAGGGAACCGGCGGTTGTAGGACCGGAGGGGGATGGCAGTGTAGTGGGAGAGAATGGAGGGGAAGATGGTAGTGGTGGAGGCAGGGGCAGTAGAGAGGAATGAGTCGAGGTGCAGGCGGGTGGTTTTAGTGTAGATGGCAGAGGCAAGACCTTGGAGGTTGCCATCAGTGAAAAATGTACTGGGGGAGAGGGGAGGATCAGAGTGGTGGGACGGGAGGGAATGGTAGTCGGGTGAGGAAGGGGTCATAGATTGTTTTTGGTTGTTATTAGAGTTGATTTTTTTTTTTTGTATGGGAATCGGTGTTATGATAATGGATTCGCCTGCCAGTGATTCATATTAATGGGTCCGGCGCTATGGTGGTGTGGAGGGAGGCATGTTGGTTTGGTGGCCTATCATTTGATTTGCCGCTGGTGGCTATATTTCGGAAATAGTTCCGGTGTTGGAACGTCAGAATTGTCCTTTGTGATGGAGGAGACAGAGTGGTTGCGTGTGCCCAAGCCGCCGGCAGATACAGGGAGATGCAGGAGGTGTTGGGAAACAGGGGAGAGGGAGGGGGCCGCACCAAGTTGGGAGAGGAAGGAGGGGGATGCAGTGGAGATGGTGGACTGAAATGGGGAGTGCCAGTCGAAGAGGGTGGATGAGGTGATGGTGGTGGGGTCTAAATGATAGTAGACATCGGCTGCAAGGAGGTGGTGAATGGAAGGTAGGGCACAAGAGTGGTAGAGAAGGCACTTGGTGTGCAGGTCGGTAGTGCTGGTCCACAGCTTGGAGAGGTTGGTGGTGTATTTGGTTAGCGCTTGTAGAGGTAGTGGGTAGCGAATGCTTTGGAGCCAATTGGTTGACCCAGGAATGCGGACACCGGTGGTGATTTCGGGGTTGACAAGGGAGCCGGCTTGGTTCTGAATGAAGAGGACAGCGGCTCGGACATGGGGGTCTTGGAAGGGGTGCCAGAAGTGTTTGTGAGGAGCTTGGTCTTGGAGTAATTCAACTGTAGGCCGAGTTCTTTACCTTCGGTCTGGAAGGTGGTAAGGAAGGGGATGATGTCGGGGGGGAGGATGAATGTGTTGGTGTCATCAATGTAGGAGGAGACAGTGGCGTGGGAGCCGATGCCATCATCGCCTGTGTCGCCTTGGGCAATTCTGAGGGTATCGTACAATCTTTTCAGATCAAGGTTTACTATGGAGGTTTAGAACAATAAGAACGAATGAATACTCTGTGCAGCCGATTGATTCCGTTTGCAATTTGAACCCTGCATGCAGGAGCGAAGACAAATCGCGTCTGATGTACCGTACTCAGGCATACGGTAGCTGCTCAGACAGGCTAGCTACTGTAGTAGCTTTTGCTACAGTACGGTACCATACCGGTACCAGCGGGAGGTGGTGAGATCCATCGCCATTCATGGCCGATCATTGCCCCCCCCCCTTGCACCACAGTGGTTGACAGTGGTAGCAAAGAATGACAGTGGTAAGCAGTGGTAAGGAAAGAAGTAAACAGTGGTAAAGATAGCAGTAAACAGTGGTAAAGAAAGCGGTAGACGGGATTACTGTTAGAGTAAACAGGTTGGCAGTGGTAAGCAGTGGATGGGCCAAAAGGTTGGTGGACACTGATGCATGGGCAATGGATTTCTCCATCCCCCAGGTACCTGGTACCGGTACATGTATTTTGTTACTCGCGGCGTACCGTACCGCTACCATAGTCGCACGAATGTCTACAGCTAGTTGTACCTGGTACAAGTGTGATTTGCTTCATTCTATTCTTCGATTGTATTACTCATGGCAAGATGATTGAACCTGATCCCCGTCGAGTCGAGTCAAGTCTGACTTCTGAGGACTGTACCACAATAGACGTGGAGTAAAAGTAAAAGGCGATTTATAAGCCTCCAAAATGCACTGCGCAGCGAAAACTGCAAAGCCTCGGAAACTACCGGTATGCATGGATATCTGTATGCTGTATGCCTCACTTCTTTCAAATGCTTGATTCCTGACTCGTTCTCTACTAGAGGGCAGTGTGCGCTTAGAGCTCATCAACATATGCAGGAGGACTCCAGTCCCATCCCTTTGCATCTCCAGATGGTAAACGTTTATCACGGCCCACGTTGTCCGAATATGTCACGAGATAGCTAGCAGACTCAATGGCCCGATGGATCATCCATGAGTGAAGCCCCTTTTGTTGTTCCAAAGACAAGACACTTCGCTTGAAATGTGGAGTTTTGACAACTCGGGTGGCGAAGTACGGAACCTCCCAACATCGGAAAAAGGCACCAGTGCAGTCAAGCTTTGTGCCAGCTTTGTAAACTTCCTCTGTCTCTGTATACCCTGCAACAGTCTCAGCCACACTGAAGGTAAGACCAGTTACTGTAACACAAGTTTTGTACTCGTCCGAACCAGAATCATAGGCAGTGGAGAAGTACCCCATGTAACTATGGGCTTTGCTCGAGTCAACAAGATCAGCATTTGAGTTTTTCCACATGTTCTTGGCAGTGATACCCTCTGCCAAAGCCCTCTTTACAACATCTTGCTGAACACTCTGCGGAACACCCTCAAGGCCACCTGCAAGCGCCTTGCGTGTAGCCTCCAATGATGCCCCTCCTTCCACACAAATGGCTGCAGCATATTCTTCAAACTTGTCAGTTTTCAAGTCATGGAAGGATGCCACCTCTGATACGCCTTTCTCTTGCTGAACGAGCACAAAGTCCTGCAAATCGTTTTTGGGCGAGGCAAACGAAGACTTTTTGCTATTGAGCAGATACATGACCGCCATGACAAGCACGACTACTCGGCCCACAGCAAAAACCCATGCGATGAAGGCGTGGAAGGCACCCAACACCCGAGCTGCCAATTCGCGCATGAGCCTTCCGAGGAGAGCAAAGAATACGATGATAGCATCGATGTAAGGATTTAGTTCATCTTGCTCCGCGGCCGCACCAACCGGCGCATTCGTTTGCTCGACAGCGTCTGTTTCGGCGCCATTACCGTCAACTGATCCTCCATTGGACATGTCCTCTACTAGGCTATCCACATCTTCTGGCACAACGATGGTGCCGCTCCTGTTCTCTTTCAATGCTGGAGGGATCACTAGCAGATCGTTTGGGATCATCCTTCCCGGCAGGTGGGTCGATTGTCAGGAAGCTCACGTCGTCTTGCACCATGGTTGAAAGTCCAGTGAGTTGTCAACAACCGGTGGGGGGGGGGCTTCGCGAAAGTGAGAGTTTTATGAGACGGTTCAGAACTACATGTAATGATTCTAGCAGGCGGAGTACGTCCGCATATCCTCGTGCGCGACCGTTGCGGTATTCATGCATCCATGAAAGAGCTCACGCTAAACCTGAGATTCGGGAAGTACATGTAACAGAGCTGTTGGATCTACTTTTGTTTACGTGTCCGTTGATTGCTAAGTTACTAGTAGATCGAACAACTCCACTACCACAGTCAGATCTTTAGAAGAGGACTCAACCGTTTGGCTCTACAGTACTAGTACAGAGCAACTCATATCACATGCAAGACTCCGGACCAGGCTCCAGTGCCTCTCTGGTTGTTTTTTCATCCAATGCCGATGGCCCGAGAGTTACCGGTACGGTGCAGGGTTACCCAGCGCCTTCATCGGCTATCCCACACAGCCATGCACCCATTGCTAAAATCGTTAGATTTTCACTCGGCAAGGTCCACTTTGGAGTACGGTACTAGTAGTTTTTTGCGTTAAATCTTTGTGACTTCAAAAGATTTACTCCCAGACGTGGAAGCAATCATCTCATCAAATAAATGTCTTCACTCCAAACTCTTCGACGCCAGCTAGTCTAGCTACCAGCCAGCGTTTCTCTGCCACTTTCTGTTGCCTCGAGGTGGATGTCTTTTTGATAAGTTCAGTTGGCACCAAACATGAACTCTTCTTTAGCTTCTAGAAGGCGGCCCGATCCGCCCGAGCGTGTTCCTTCTCCTCATGATAGAGGTGACCATGGCCACACAATAGTGGTTGCCACAGCCACGGCGGTTCCCGTTGCTTCAATCAGCAACCATGATTCTGCGTCGAGGCACCAGGACAGGACGGTTCTACAGATTCCGTCTCGTCCCACGGGTGGAGCAGTGTGGACCCAGACTATGATTGATCTGAAAACACGAGACGTCTTTGATGACCACGAAGACAGTGTCAATAACGACAGCAGCAGCAACTGCATCCCTCAATCATCCATGGCAACAGCCACGACAGCAGCTCAAAGTTCCACTAGCAGCTTCAACTTGGAAGACGAAGAAGAGTGGTACCGAAGAGCACACAATAATAACAGCAGCACCCACAGTTTCTATCAATCCGACAATGATTTGGTCAGTGACATTGCAGAAGAAGAAGAACCATCTCAACACGAAAGTAATACCATTCTTGGAGTCACAGTCTACAAACCACCCGGTCGACAACAAGTGGGAATTGGAATTTCCAATTGTGCCACTGTCGATGGCATTCTAGTGACCAAAATTCATCCCGACAGCATATTTCTCAATACCAATCTACAGGTAGGAATGAAGATTCTACGCATCAACGACACGGCCGTCTCCAACGCGTTCCCGGCAGACTATGTGGCCATGCTGTTGCGAGAAGTCGACGGATGGATCACCTTGCACGTCATGGATGTACGCGATTTCTTGCCCGATGACAAGAAGAATTCTAGATTATTGGACTTGTCACGGCCGGAATTGCAATGGACCACCGTTTCCATTTACAAACCCCATGCAGACGCTTCCGTGGGAATTGGAATTGCCGACCGAACCACCGTCGTTGACAACAACATACACCCGCGACATTTCCCGTCATTGCTAGTTTTGCAGCGGGTGGTGTTTATGCCAAAAGTTCCAGTGCCAAGTTGCTCCGATGCGGGATGCGGCTCTTGAGCATTAATGGATTCCCCTGTCGAGGGAGAGATGATGCCATCGCCATGCTGCAAATTGCGGTCGGCTACCTTGAAATCACGGCCGGGCCAGAAGATATGGTGTTTGTCTGTTCCGCCACCAAAGAACAGCAGTCGTTGGGACTCTGTTTGCAACAATACGACGAACAAACGCTGATCGAATACATGACGGACGACAGTCTCTTTGCCGACACATG